AGCCCCAGGGGGGCAGCATCAGGGTCCTGGGGGGTGGGGTGGGGGGGGGACCCATCAGGCAGGGGAGACAGGGGGTCTTCCCCCTACCCCCAAGAGGCTGCCGGTACCCCCAGATCTCTCCTGCAGAGCCGGGGGGAGCCCCAGACCCCACCCAGCGGCTGTGCCATGGCGGGAGCCTAGGAGGTGCTGCCGGGGTCATGGGCTGGGGGCGGTCTGGCTCCTGCCATAGGGCCCGGGGGCTGCGACCAGCTGGTGGTGGGTGCTGGACAGGCCACGTACACGTTACGCTCCCCCCGACCGGCACGGACACAGGATAGCAACTACTGCTCACGGGCACGTGCCTGGTCCTGCTAATGACCTCTAATGAGGCAGGGCATGGCGGGGGACGGGCACTGCCAGCTGCGTGCAGCGTGTGCGTGCGGGTGGAGCAGGTTGGGAACAGGCTGCCAGGGAGACAGGCGGATGCACGGTTTCTGTGGCAACGGGCAGTTCGGAAAGGCCATTGCAGGAGGATGCAGCCCGAGCCCCCTCCTGCGGGGTCCCCCCACTCGCTCCCGCCTGGGGGTCACGAGCCGGGGTGCATACAGGTGTGGGGAAGCCCGGCGGGGCGCGGAGTCGGCACTGCTGTCACGAGCTGGGAGCGCTCGGCTCCAGCACCGCGGGGAGGGGGCTGGGGGGGAAGGCTGAGACCTCTGGGGCTGCAGATCGGGAGTTAAGAGCACCGCGTGCAGGGGAAGCTGCGACCCCCCCCTTGCACACACACACACACACACACACTTCTCCCAGCCCCGTCCCTGGGACACCATGGCCGGTAGCACAAGCAGGGCCCGATCCTGCTGCTGGGGGTAGAGCTGGGGGCCAAGCGCTGCCAGGGTCTCAGTCCCCATAGACGCCTGCCCAGAGCAGACTGGGGTTAACTGGGGATGACTGGACTGGACTGGACTGGAGGTCAGGCCAGAGCATCACCAGCGCCCGTGCCCTGCGTACCTGGGGGGGCTCCGGCTCCAGGAGCTGCCCGTCATCCTGGCTGGGCTCCTTGCGGAAGAGGGTGTAGAAGATGTAGACCAGCAGGGAGTAGATGGCGTACATGGGGTGCCCGCGTGCGGGGCCGGGGGCCCGGACCCCGCCGCCAGCCAGCCCCCAGGCCTGGCACCCAGGGGGGCAGAGGGGCTCGAGCTGCCTCCCGCTAGCGCTGCAGCATCCTGCCAGCCGGTCCCTCCGCAGTGGCCGGGGGCCTGCTCATGCCCAGTCCAGCCGCCCCTCCTCCTGGCACTGCGGTAGCAAGGATGCCGAGGGCTGGCGGGGTGGGGGAGGCGGCTGGGAGGGGTCCCCGCGACCTCGCTGGCACCCAGCACCCCGGCGGCCTCCGGGCAGCCTGGACCGAGCACCGGCTCCCCCAGGACACCCCTTGGCCAGGGACCCAGAAAGGCTTGGGGGGGGGGCCAGGCGCAGTCTGGGGGAGGAGGGTTGGGGGGGGGGGGCCAGGCGCAGTCTGGGGAAGGAGCTGTGCAGATTCACAGCAGCCGGGGAGGACACAGGCCTGCGAGCTCATACCCATCTCCCCAGCCTCCAACACCCCCATTCCTGCCCTCGTACCCCCACCCTGGGGTCTGGATCCGAGCAGCGAGTGCAAAGGGCAGAGTTAAGGGTGTGGATCCCCCTTTCCTCACGCCTGGCCCAGTCTGGGTGCAAGGGCCAGGCTCGCTGCATGGGCAGGTGCGACATCCTGTTGCAAGCCGGGGTCCCTGCACACCCACCGGCTTCTCCGCTGCCCTCGGCTTCCTCCTGCCCGCTCCAAAGGAGCAGTCGCCGGGACCCTGGGCACGCTGCACGTGGGGGCCGCGGCCCCAGGGAGAAGCTAGCCCAGGGCAGCAGGTGGGGACAGTCTCTGTGCTCCCAGCGAGACTGTGCAGGGGGGTTAGCGTAGCCCTCGCCGCGTCCCAAACCTCCAGCCCCGCTGGGACATCTGCCAGCCAGAGCCCGGGGCTGTCCAGACGGGGCGACACGACCCCTCACACCAACCCCGCAGGGTCCTGGCGGGAGGGTCTTGCCCCTGCACTCAGGCTCAGCCCAGCGCTGCACTGGGGCAGGAAGGGATTTCCCCCTGTTCAGACTGGTCGTGCTAAGTGCCCTCTGCCTCCGCCGGGCAAACGGGGACGGGCTGCTCAGATGCCCTCGCTCTGAGGCTGCCCAGAGCAGCGGGGGAGTCTCTGTCCTTGGCGGCACTGGACGGACACGTGTCCAGGCTGGTGCAGACAGGCTGGCGCTGCCTTGAACTGGGGGTGGCCTGGATGCAATGCCCCCTGGGCCCTGCTGATTCGACCCCTCGGTATTCGACAGGGACCGTCCCCGGTGCAGTGCCAGGCCGAGCCCTACAAGACGTGGGGTTTGGTGCGGGTCGTAGCCGCCTGGGAGATAAAAGTGGGGCCAAGGCTCTTCCCAGCGGGCATCACGTGTAGCTGTTTTGGGGACGGTCTTGCCCCACAGCTGCCCGCCTCTGACGTGAGCAGTGCTGGGAGCTGCAGCAGCTGGGGCCAAGCTGCAGATTCCCAGGGCTGTGCACGCATCGACCAACCTCGTGCTTGATGAGCCAGGATCGTTAGGGCAGGGGTGGCTGCTCTGCCCAGCCGGCGCCAGCTCCTGGCACGAGTTAGACCCCTTTGTGCCCTGCCCAGCCTGATGCTCAGTCCTCAGCGTGCCAGCCAGTGCCACCAGTCAGTCCAGTGCCCCTCAGTGCTAGCTCCCTGGAGCTTGGGGATGGATGCCTCCAGCTCCCCCTCCCCGAGAGCCCGTGGGCATGCCGGGGCTGCTCCCCCAGCCAGCCCCAGGCTCTGCAGGCCCCAGTGGGCCTTGGGGGCAGCTACAGGGTCAGGGCTGAGCCCCCCGGCTGCAGGAGCGATAGACCCCGGCCAGCCCAAGGAATCTCAGGCCACGCTGCATCGTGCGGGTGCCACGGACTTTATTGCACCAGAGGCAGGTGCCACCCTCGTGGGGGCACAGCTGGGCTTCGCCCTGTGGCTCCCCTGCTTGCATGGACCCTCCCAGTGCCTGACAGCCGGGACCATGACCCATCGGGGCAGGGACCCTACTGGGGGCAGCACTTGCTGCGGAGCCTGGCCTCGTCTGGCTGCTGGGAGCAGTCACAGCTGGGGCCTGGCCAGCCCCCCGGCACCTGCTGCTCACCCCACCTCACCCCACCCCACCCTGTGCTCTGCCTCCTGCCCCCCCCAGCCCTGCTGGGTCGCTCAGCACAAGGGCAGGGGGTCTCCAGGAACAAGGTGTGAAGACCCCCCTCTGCTGCCTGCCCTGCCCTCCTATCCCGCAACCCCCTGCCAGGGGTGCAGCTCTCTCTTGTGCCTGGGGCCCCTCCTCAGACCAAGTCCTCTCTGCTCCACCCACAGCCACGGCCAGCCCCAGGGAGGAGCTGCATGCAGGCAGCAGAGCCCCAGCACCCCGGGGATACCAGCTGGGGGCTGCCCGGTGCAGGGGGCTGCAGGTCAGGGCTCCTCCACCAGCATCTCCTTTTGACGCTTCGTGCTGGACCGGGTGCAGGGCCCCTGCAAGGGCAAAGCAGCCAGGGTCAGGCCGGGCAGGAGAAGGTGCCAGCTGGCAGCACCCAGCAAGAGGGGCACCGGGTCTGCTGCAAGCCTGGGCCCCCCAGCTGCCACCAGGACCCTGGTGCTGCCCCACACAGGATGCCCGTGTCCCCCTCACCTCCGGCGGGTGCCCACGCTTGCTGGCGGGGAAGAACTCCCCCAGCAGTGGCTGCCGCTCGCACGCTGGGGCCTCGGGCTGCTCCTCCGCCTCCTGGCGCTGCGTCTCCAGCCACCGGTCCAGCCGCCGGCGCACCCGCACCTCGCTGCAGCGGGAGAAAGAGGGCACCCTTGGGGGCAGCAGGGAAGACCCTGACGTGCCCCCTGAGCAGACTCACGGGTTAGAAGGGGCCAGGCTGCAGCAGGGGGTCCCCAAGCCCAGCCCCGCCCCAGAAGCCCCAGCTCTGGCCACCTAGGCCTGCTCACGGGC